GGTGACCCATAGCCATGGATGCTGGCGCCATCCAGTGTGCACACTTGCGGTGGAGGATGGAACGAGAGGTGGGAACGCCAGGTTTCCGTGGTCCTGGAACATTTTCTCTAGGAGTGGCAGGAGGCAGAGGCCCTGGCCTTTATTCCAGAAAGGCACCGGGCCAAGGGGAGCAGCTGGGAGGTTACAGTGGGAGACCATCGGCCTGTGAGCGAGCGTGCGGAGGGGCGAGGGGGGAAGACAACGCCACCAGGCTAAGTATGTCAGAGCCTGCTTCACGCCCACAAGGCCATTCCTTTGTGGGAGGGGAGTAGGCACCGTGTGATCTAAAGGACATCTCCAGGCAGCCACCGCCCCTCCCGTGATAGTCCTGCCACCTTGCCACCCTTTGGAGCTAAAGCAAAAACCCCCAGGTAGTTAAGGAGAAATTTTCCCAGAACAACCCGTTGAACCAGTGTGTCACTCTGGGACTGGGCCAAGGCGTGAGGAACGAAACAGGAAGAAAGAGGAAAGCACTGGAGTCGGCCACTTAGGGATCCCAGCGTGGGGAGTCTGCACAGTGGCTGCGCACCGGCCCCTCACATTTGGAAAGCACTTTTCTGTCACATGTATATATGGAAGCATTAATTAGACTTTCGTGACAGGTGCCAGGTAGACAAAGACAGGGCCTCTGCCCTTAAAGAGAATAAACAAAGAGACCGATTAATGTAATCAGTGCCATGATGGAGACTCGTATAGAGGACTAGGGGGGCCCGGGAAAACGCTCTGTGGGCCTTAAGGGTGTGGGATTGGTGCCTGTAACAGGAGTTTTGTGCGATGAGCCTCTCTTTTCCTTCTACCGTTCCTGCCCCTCAGAGCTCTGTAACGGGTGAAGAAATGACCAAAGAAAGCCCTAACTCCTCCCTACATGGTCGCTTCTCCATAGTATACATCTCTGTTCAGCTGGGGCTTTGCAGGCTCCCAGACCCCTCACTGTAGAATAGTCCTCTCTGGCCCTGGGAAAGTTGGCATCCCTTTGTCTGAGGGCCTTCACACTCAGAACCTGCTCGTGTCCCGCCAGACAGGCTTGTCTTCCTCTTCCATACCCACCACTCCCCACCCACGACGCTCCAGACCATGCAAAGGGCCTTTGCTTAGGAAGCTTCAAACCTCTTTCTGGTTCACACCTTCCTCCTAGCCCAACCAGGGGCTCCCACTCATTCCTGGCTTCCGGCCTCAAAGCCCACCCTGTCCACAGCTGCATGGAAAGGTGGTCAGCACAGTGGGCGGCCCAGCCCTTCCCGGTGCAGGAAGGAAGGCTGCACCCACCTCTGGGCATTTGGTGGTGACTCACCCAAAGGAGTCCACTCCCCCACACCGGACACAGGAAGGACAAAAGTCCTTCCATTACAGGGACTCAGCTCAAAACCTCAAACCATAGGGGCCATCGCCATCTTCAGCCAGCAGGCTCTTTCCAGACTCTGCTACCTGGCTATCCTACACCACAGTAAGTGTCTTCCAATATCCTGAAAGCACCAAGACCTTGTACATGGATTTATTTTCCTCTGGAAACTTCTTCACCTGGTTACCCCCCTAGTCATCCCTCCCTGCAACCTCCAACTGACCACCTATGGACTCCCCTAGCACCTGAACTTAACCTCTCTTAAGAAACTTCTCCCTTAGCATGGTGATTCCCAAAATATGTGATTGGATCCCCCGAAGATTGTAAGTTCCTTGAGGGCCAGTTCCTTGTCCTTTTCAAGATGGTTTCCTCAGTGCTTTGCACCTTCATGGTAGGCACTTCGTACATGAAGAAATGAAAACTATGATATACAAACAGTATGAATTATTATTCTTTAAAGCTGGCAGGGCCGAGGTGGTAGGGATACAAGTGTTTAGTTCCTCTCTTGATCTTCTTTACCAGCCATCGCCCAGCCTAAACCAGTAGTTTGCGCCATGTGGCCCCAGACAAGTGACATCTGGGCACTTCCTAGAAACAAATTCTTGGTTCCATCCCAGACCTGCTGATTCAGACACTCAGGGCATTGAGCTCATCAGCCTATGATTTAACAAGCCCCCCAAGTGATTCCGATGCCATGCTCAAGTTTGAGAACCACTGTTCCAGCCCTAAGGCCAAGTTTGGGGTCATAACATTCAACTGTGTAAATATTAAAAATTAGAAGAATTTTGCACGAAATCAAAATTTTCAGCAAACCAAACACTCCTACATCCTCATTTCCCCATCTTCTTATAGCAATTGTTATAGGGTCAGCAGCAGACACAGCAAGAAGTCCCATTCAATGGATGGGAACAGTGAGGCTGGGAAAAAAAACCCACTTTCTCAAATGATAAAATTAAAACAGGCAGAGTCAATGCAGGAATCTGGCCCAATGTTCTTTGTACAGCAACACAAAGTCATTCAAAGCCAGTAAAATAAAATAAAGCACTAGATAATTTATAGTTTAAGGGCCAGAGGTATGAGTACCCCTTTCCCTTCCCACTGATGCTGGATGATCTAATAAATAAGGTTTCAAGGAGGGTTCCTGAGGGCTTGGGTCTCTAAGGATCCTGATCAGTCCTTCAGGAAGATTTAGGACAATAGCCCACATAGCTTTTTCAATAGAGAGACAGACAGAGTTGGTTTTTTGTTGTTGTTGTTGTTTTGTTTTTTAAGGCACAATACCCAATTCAGGTCACCCCAGAAATGGTGCTTGGTTTTTTAAATCTGCTACCTTTCTAGGGGTGAAGAACTCCGCCTGTAGGAAACCTTGCTTCCAGATATAGAGGTCCTAGCACAAACACCTGAGCCTTGGTGGTTGAGGTGGCAGCCTAAGTTCTGGAAAATGGGGACAAAGCTGGACGGTCTCAAGGTCTTGTCAGCGTTTGGGTGGCTGTCTGGCGCCCCCTTGTGTTCAGTGTCTGGACCCAAAGAGCCAAAAGACCACGAGGATGGAGTGAGGGTCAAATGGCTTAGCCATTCTCCAAGGACGGCCTATGGCCGTGAGAAGCCAGTGGAAGGGGCTCAGAAATGGGATATCTGGGATGTCCTCCCAGCCCTTGTGGAAAAGCATTCCCTGGGACAAACTGTATGGGACAGTGGAAATTGTGTCCACGCTCACCCAATTGCCTCCAGCAGAGAGATGGATCACTGTGTCCCTCCTGCTGGGTATTTGGCCAGCAGGCTCGTTCCTCCTGACTTAGTGCCCAGGCCAGAGACTTATAGCCTCTTTTTTTCTTTTAAGAGAAATTGACTGTTCTGCCGAAGCCGGCTTGGGCCCCCGAGGAGACATGGCAAGGCAGTTCTGAATGTGCTAAGTCCGTGGGCAGTAATGGGCACTGTGTGCCCAGTAGAGGCACTTCCCACCCTCGGCCATAAATAGTCCTTAACGGGCTCACACAGAAGGCTTGGGCCTGGCTCTCCCTCCTCGCCTGCCCCTTCCCCCTGACTCCCACCCCTGGAGCTCTACCATCCCAGCCAGATCACCAAATCACGCCCTCGTATGAAAAGGTGTCCTTCATGCCCACATCATGGCACCTTCAGCACAGGCTGCAGGGCCAAGGTTCCAGGGTCGGTTCTGGCCATAGAACAGGGCTCAACCCAAGAAGCACTGATGGAAGCCTTAATCCTTGGCCAGAGCCTGGCGGCGCCTCATACAGGCTGAGTCACGTAAGTCATGGAAAGCAGGTCACTCACACCCTCCAAGCCCCAGTTTCTTCATCAACAAAAGGGCGATCTTAGCCCCAGAATGAGCCCAGCCTGGGTCTCGAGATTTGCAAGATTTGAGAAGGTTGGTAAATCTAACGGACAAGTACCTTCTTGCCTCTAAGCCTTTGCACATGCTGTTCCCACTGCCTGGAACAGTTTTCTCCCTTCCCTCCTTCCCTTGGTGAACACCTCTCTACCTTCAGTCAAAGCGTAGACTTCTCCAGGAACCCTTCTAGAGTCCCCCAAGCCTGGGCTTGGTCCCCTCCAGTGGTCCCCATAACTCCCTACTTGGTCCTGGCCCCAACAGGGGTCACGTGGTCAGGTGATTGGCTGTTTGTTGATCTGGGCCCTCACTTTAGTAAACCCCATGAGACAAGAACAGAGATCACACCCGCCTTATTCACCTGGGCACCTGCAGGACCTGGTAGAGTGCCTGGCACATGGTAGGCACTCAGTACATATATGCTTGACTAGGTAGATGGGCTCAGAATGAAACACAGGCTGGGGCCAGAGGGCAGAAGGCAAGGCAGCAAGGCCACTAAGGAACATGCACACACATCCACAGCACGTCCACGTTCTGCGCAACAGCCTGCAGCCGGCCATGTCATGTCCCTGGAACCCCTGCGAACGCGTGCCGGGGAGATCTCTGCCCGCCCTTGTAGTGCTCCGGCCTGTCAGAGAGAGAAGAAGCCATGGGATCACTAGGGCTGGGAGCCCACAGACAAGGCCTGGGCCGACTCTGCCTCAGCTCGACCACAGAAGCTCTGCTTTTGTTTGTTTGTGTTTGTGTTTCTCAATGCACTTGTGCTGATAAAATCTGGCTCTGTGTTAAGAAGAAAGACAAAGACAAACATAAAGACCGCTGGTGTAGTCTATGCTCTCGTTCTATAGATAAGGAAAGGAGAGCCAGAGAGGAGAGGGGACATTCACCAGCATCACACAGCTCAGCATCAGAGTGGGAAGGCCCTGCATCTCCAACTCTTTATATACTTTTTGGCGGGAGGGAAGAAGATGGGGAGTTAGTTGTTATTCAGAGTGAAGGGCTGAAGGTCTGAGAGGAGACTGAGCAGGCCCAAGCGGTCCCCAGATTGCATTGTGTCCCTCTGGCATCATATGTGACCCTCCCCAACGGGAGCTAGCCTCCCTCTGCAGTGCGGGAGAGGAGGCGGTCCATCAGCAGGAGCCCCAGAGGGCACGATGGTGAGAGTTCACACGCACACGGTCGCGCACGCACACCGCACCCACACTCAAGGGCTAATTCCCACCCCCCTGCCCTGCCCGGCCCTGATAGCTGTTCCTGGGACTACTGTCTTCTTAGGCCACGGAGGGCTGAACCAGCTGGGAGGGGCCTTTGTGAACGGCAGACCCCTGCCTGAAGTGGTGCGTCAACGCATCGTGGACCTGGCCCACCAGGGCGTGCGGCCCTGTGACATCTCCCGCCAGCTCCGAGTCAGCCATGGCTGTGTCAGCAAGATCCTTGGCAGGTAAGCACGAAATTCACCACGTGCCACCTTCCCTGCAGGGCTTGCCTGGAGCGGCCCACCTGGCAGCCACGCCCCTGCCCCCCGGGCACTCGGTCGTTCAGATGTCCAGCTTCCATCCCGGTGGTGCTTCCGGGCCTCCCCACCCGCTGCTCTTCTGTTACTTTCCTGTCCTTGCTTCCTTCTCTGTCCATTTCTCCTTCCTTTCATTTCTCCCTCTCGCTTTTCTCCTTTGCCCCATCTCTCATTTTTAGGGGCTTCTCTACTCCTAAAGCAGGAGAATCTTCCCCAAAGCACCCCACCCCCACCCTGGCTGAGACCACGGGAAATGGAGCCGCTAGGGAGAGGACACAGGATCAGAGGTGGCTCCTGCAGTCTAACCCCCCGCATGAGGGATGTCTGAGTGTGCTTCTCAAACTCTTAATTCCCAGAGCACCTGCCACGGAAGCACCAGGGTTCCTTGATGAGATGTAGATCCCTAAGGCCTGGTCCAGACCTACATATAAATCACAGCATCCCCTCTGAGAGCCAGGCCTGGGTGCTGTGATTTTTAGGAGATGACCATGTACCAGTCATGAACACTCAACTCCAGAGCAGTGGTTCATCACTCTGGCTGCACATTAGAGTCACTTAGGGAAACTTAATTTAAAAAAAAAATTATGTCTAGGCCCCAGCCCACACCTACTAAAGCAGAACTTTAGGAGAACGGGCTCAAGTTTTTGTATAGTGTTAAGTCTCCTTCAAGGGATTCCAATTTTCTGTAGCCAGAGTTGAGGACCACTGACCCAAAGGTTCGGGAAGGACCAGGAGCAGCAAAGCCCTGCATCTGGGCTGACACAGCGTAGTCTGGAGAGCCACTCTCCAAATGCCCCTGCCCTGGGGGACTTGGGGCTTTGCATCGGCTCAGTGCACCTGCCTCCCTCACCCAGCTCACAGATGGGTTCAGCAGGAGTTCTGGTTTAAAGAGGCAAAGGGACCTGACTGTAGCTGAACTGCAGAGAGTCCTGGCTTCCTGACTAAAGTTGCCAATGGCAAGGGCACTCCCTGGTTCGGGTCAGGAGAGAGGCTCCTAAGATGGGCTGCAGTGTCCCCAAGAGCTGAGCCTGGGATGGTTATGACAGACAAGCAGAGTTTTAAAGAACCAGACTTCATTCTATGGTAGAGGAGACCAGAGAGTTTCCACCCAAAGAGGGGAAAACTATCCTGACATAAGTCAAGGATCTACCAAAGCAGCTGGCTGGGGGCTCGGGGGAGAGGAAAAGTGGACAGCCTGAGACAGCAGGCTTGGCTTAAGGGGCCGGACATGGCCAGGGATCCAGGCCAGGCTGGCATTCCAGAGTCCAGGAGGAATAGCTTCCACCTGAACCATGTAATCTGGTAGAAAACCAGTGGCCAGCCGGGAGGTGTGGGCTGGGGAAGAAGGCAGGGGAGCAAAGGTGAACCAGTAAGACAGAGCAGAGGGCCCAACCATCCAAACTAGCTTCCTGGGGAGGGGTAAAGCCAGGATGGCCAAGAACGGTGAGTCAAGATTTAACCCCGGAAAGCTGCATAGAGAAACCCCCCACTGTGAACCGATAGGTACGCAGGGAGCATGCGCAGCAAAACCTCCTCTCTAAGAAGGGAAATCGTTTGTGTGCCGAAGTTGGCTCTGGCGGGAGCTCAGACGCAGGAGACTGGCAGGAGGGAAAGAGAGAGGAAGCCAGGTGTCCAGGGTGAAGTCTTTAGCAGAGGGCTCTGGTTTGGCAGCAGCATAAACTTACTCATGCAAGGGAAGCAGACAGTGCCAGGAACATCAAGTGTCTGAGGGCAGCCCTGGGGGTGCATTTTACCCCCTGAAGCCTTGGAGAGGAACAAGAGTCTCTGGCTAAGTCCCTGCCCGAAGACCCCACCTGCTTATTGGGTAATTCTTTGGGGTTCTCTATTGGAGTAGGTACTACGAGACCGGCAGCATCCGGCCTGGAGTGATAGGGGGCTCCAAGCCCAAGGTGGCCACCCCCAAGGTGGTGGAGAAGATTGGAGACTATAAGCGGCAGAACCCCACCATGTTTGCCTGGGAGATCCGAGACCGGCTCCTGGCGGAGGGTGTCTGTGACAATGACACTGTGCCCAGTGTCAGCTCCATCAACAGGTGAGAGGGACTCAGCAGCCGGGGTGGGGGGGGCGCGGGGGGCAGGGCACCTGGGCTTTGGGGGAACCATGACGGAGACCCAAAGAAGGGCCTGGCTTGGGTGGAACAGAGCCTAGGAAGGGGACTCCTGCTGAAGAATTAAGCAGGAAGCACCCCAGGCGCCGTGGGGCAGGTATCACACCTCCCCACTGCTCTGTGACAGTCCCTCCCCCACCCCACCCCACCCCACCCCACCCCACCCCACCGCGGGTTGTACTTCGCCAGTTTCCTTCTGCACACGCTATATCCTCTTTCATTCAATAAAAGAATCTCGAAGTGACCCTTTCCTGGGCCACACGACCCCTAACCTGGGCCTCATTCAAGCATTCACTCAATTGTTTGGTTTTTCAATTATTCACTCACAGCCTCAATCAATCATTTACTCACTCATTCATTCCTATATACGTAGTTCACTCATAATGTGCTAGGCCCTGGGAACACACAATCCTTGTCCTTGTGGAGCTTATAGTCTAGTGAGAAGAAAGACACTAATCAAGTACTTATCAAGTGCCCACACACACAATTGTAAAAATGCAGCTCTAAGTCCTCCTAAGGAGAGGAACATGAGGTATGTGAGTTAGCATAGGGTGCTTGGTTTAGGAAGGAATGAAAAGGTGTTCCTGAGTAAGAAACAATGAATAAGAGTTAACTAGGTGAAAAGGGGAGCCAAAGGAGCTTGGAGACAGCATATGCAAAGGCCCTGTGGCTCACAGATCTTAGACAAGAAGCTGAAAGAAAGCCAGCAGATAAAAGGGGAGCACGAGGTAGGCTGAGGTGGAAATGTCAGCAAAAACTGCCCTTTAGAGGCTGGTGGCCATGTCACCTATTCTTACCTGTGACCTATAAGAAACTTGGCAGACTGTAAGCAGGAGGCTGACTTGCATTTCAAAAAGTCCACTGTGGTTACAATAGGGAGAATAGATTAGAAAGGGTCAAGAGCAGATAGGGGTGGGCCAGTGAGTGATCCCCGGGCGGGGTGGGGGGGGAGAGCTGGTGATGGCCTGCATTATGTTGCTGACAGTGACATGCAGAGAGGAGTCAGTCGATGCTGGAGAGGTTTACAAGGTCAAACCCACAGAACCTCATGATGGCTTTGATAGAGGAGGGAGGGAGGCAGATGTAAAGCTCCACCTATATTTCCACCTTGAGTGACCAGTGGAACTGATCATGAAACAGAACACTGGGAAGGACCAGGTGTGAGGAGTGAGGTCAGGGGTTTGATTTTAGACAGGTTGTACTCGAGGTGCCTCTAAGATACCCAAGGGAGCTCTCAAAAAGGCACAGGATCCGGGGCCGCGTGAGTCCTATTTCCTCCTCTTCTCTCTAATAGCCTTTTTCGTCTTCCTTACAGAATCATCCGGACCAAAGTACAGCAACCGTTCAACCTCCCCATGGACAGCTGCGTGGCCACCAAGTCCCTGAGCCCAGGACATACGCTGAGTGAGTGCTGACGGGCTGGCATGCTCAACCTCGCACACGCACACCCACCTGCAAACCCGTAGTCACACACACGCCCACAAAGACACACCCCCAGCGTGGACTGAGCCCTTCTGCAGGAACAAAGCCTTGCTGGGTCCCAGGAAAGATGCACTGACATACTTAGGGGTGGCAACACTTCAGGCAGCCTCGACTCCAAGATACCCTCCTGCTAGTGGGCTCTGAGGGGTGTCCCCTGCACATGCTGACCCTCTCCCTCTCATCCCACCGCAGTCCCCAGCTCAGCCGTAACGCCCCCAGAGTCACCCCAGTCAGATTCTCTGGGCTCCACCTACTCCATCAACGGCCTCCTGGGGATCGCTCAGCCTGGCAGCGACAGCAAGAGGAAAATGGACGACAGTGAGTGTTGGGGAACCAGAGGGCAGGTTGGGGGTGCAGGAGGGCAGTCTGCTCAGGCTCCAAGGGGACTGGTGGCTCTGGACTTTGCAGGTGCCTACAGCACATGGCCTGCCCTAAGCTGGCCACAGTCCCCCGGCCTGGAGCCGGATCCTTCCTGTCCCTCTGCAGCCCGAGTCTGCCCCTCCACTCTGGCCTGGGGCATGGGTAGATGGGTCTCCTGAAAGCTTTCTCCCCGCCTGGGGATGCCAGGTGACCAGGACAGCTGCCGGCTGAGCATCGACTCCCAGGGCAGCAGCAGCGGGCCCCGCAAGCACCTGCGCACGGACGCCTTCAGCCAGCACCACCTTGAACCGCTCGAGTGCCCATTCGAGAGGCAGCACTACCCGGAGGCCTATGCCTCCCCCAGCCACACCAAAGGCGAGCAGGTGAGCAGCCAGGTGAGCCCCGGAGCAGTGGCAGGCAGGGGCCCAGCAAAGCACAGTCTCTGGAAGACTCCTAGTCAGCCTGCAGTCTTGCCACCAAAGCAACTAGAAGTTGTGCCAGTGGGCTCAGGGCGCATGCTTCATGCAGCTGCAAGTCGACACAGACTTTCTTTTACCAGATGCGGGCACCTTTCTTCTCCCCCCAGCCCTCTTGCCTTCCGTCACCCTTAGCCTCTGAGCTCCGCCCTTTCTGGAAGAGCACCACCCCCAGGCCGTGCCATCCCTCTGTCCTCTGGGGCTTTCCCAGACCGCAGGGTCAGGTCCCACAGCTCTGAAGCGGCTGCTCAAAGCCTTACACCATGACCTCGACCAGCACCTCCGGCCTATCTCTGGCCACTCACACCTGCACACCGTTGATCTGCATTACTCACGCTCACGAGCATGTCATTCTCGTTCACACCCCCCTGCACTGGCACACTGCATGCACGCCCCGCAGAGCACCTTGCCTTCCACCTTTCTGCCTGGAAAAGTACCACTTGGCCGCTATGACTCAGCTCAAGCATCACTTACCCATGAATCACGCCCTGCCCCTCAGACATGCTTCATCTCTCCCTCGTCTGTGCTTCCGCCCATCCAGCACACCACTCCAGTAACTTCTCACGGCACACTGTAATTGTCCAGTGGGCAGCGGTGTAGGCAGTGGGTTTCATAAGGCAGGGCAGCATCTTGAAGCATCTTTTTTTTTTAATCTCTGGCACCAACAAGGTGCCCTTCTTAGAATAGATACTCAGTAAAGGTGTATTGGTGAGTGAGCTGAGAAATCCAGAACAATAATTTGCAAGTTACAGGGGAGTTTTTATTTCTAGTGCTCAGGATGGGTGAAATGGTTTACGGCGGGTCAGCTTCTGGGAAAAGCTAAGAGAGATGTCACTGGTCTCCCCCCGCCCCCCACCCCGAGCCCAGCAGAGACTCCACAACTCTGACAGAACTTCCAGGACCACTGGTCCCTCCGTTCATGTGCATCTGTCCCCAGTAGCTGCGGCTTTCACCCCCCCATCCCCCCCTCCCCAGGTCCACCAGTTGAGGAATTCCCTTAGGGTGGGTCTGCTCACCCCCACTTTGCTCACGCTGTCATTTGATCCAGGAGTGAGGCAAGCCTTACGCTTTGAAAGTCTAAGCAGGACAATGTGGACGATGCCAGTAAGCAGCTGAACTGTCGCCAGGCACCGTCTGGGCTGCTGGGCCCACGCCAGCGCCGCAGCTGCGCAGGCAATCTGCGTCAGCGATTTTATCAGCCTGGGCTGCGGCCACCACGAGGGGGTGCAGAGAAAGCTGGCCGTCAGCAGACCTGGGGAGAGGACCCGGGTGCTCATCCGAGAGTCAGCACATGGATCCTGGAAGGAAGTGGGGCCACAGCTGTGGGCTCGCTCACAGGGAGCCCACTCTGTGTGCAAGCACCCGCTGTCCTGCAGAAACCCTGCTGCTGAGATGCTGGGCACCCGCTGGGTCTGAGGGCCACCTCCCAGGTCCATGGCTGAGCCCCGAGCGGGCCCTGCCTGATGATGACAGGGAGACCGAGACCAGCACCAAGCTGGCCCATGCGCCTGGGAATTGTGGTCTTAGAGAGTCTTAGAGCCACAGGGACCTCGGGGACCACGGAGACCAGTCTTTGCATTTGTGTTGAGATAACCCAGGGCCTGGGAGGGTGGTCAGAGCCTGGGGGAGCGAACGGTTGTGGAGCTCATGTCTGCCGGCCCTGGTTTCATTCAGACTGGCCCGCTGGTGCCCTGTTTCTAAGATACAATGCTTCTATGTCAGTTCTTACTCGAAGGCTGGAGAAACAGAGTTTGGAAAACCATGGAACTGCTCCAACCTCTTGTCCGGTAGATAAGCAAGCTGAGGCTCAGCAGTGTCCATCCATGATTCATTCCTCCCGCAGTCAATCTTCTACTTGCTCATTCATTCACCCGGCTGGGTGGTGAGGGGCAGGGAGCATCCAGCCTGTGCCGAGGGCTCCTTAGGTCTGAGCCCCTGCCTTTCCTGCCCTTGGTGACTCGGACTGTGCCATCGAAGGACACTGTGTGCTCTCGCCTGGGCCCAGGAAGGCCCTCTGGCCTGGGGAGCCGAGAGAGAGAATCACAGGTCCGCACACCCAACCTCAGGATCGGGGAGGGCACAGTCATCTTTCCTGTAAGATCAACAAGGGTGAAAGCATTCAACGGAAACACCATGTGGCCTCACTCCTGGTTGCTATTTCACCACCAAGCACAGTTAGGAGTCACAGTGAGGTTCTTTGTCCTCTATTTTACAAGTGCAACAAGAACAGATCAGCAGAATGTGAATATTATGACAAAGACCGAGAATTTTGCAGCTTATGACTCTTCACAGAATTCACAAATAATAATACCTATTAGAGCAACGTATTGGGCATTCTGGGCTAAGCACTGAATGTATGTATAAAAAAAATCTCATGTAATCCTTACATCAGCCTGGTGACGCAGATTCTATTCTTCCTGTTATAAGGATGAGAAAGTCATGGCTCAGAGGGGTCGAGGAGCCCACAGCTCCGTGGCTGTTCACTGCAGACCCAGGCCTCAAACTGGCCCTCGTGCTAGAGCATTATGCCACTCTGCACCCCAATTCAAGTTCAATCCCGGGAAGAAATCCAGCCATCACTGGGATGACTGGGGACTTTGGGAGGATTGGGGAATTTTTTTTCCCCCCACTGAATTGTCTGGATTTGGGAAAGCTATGGGATTTTGAGTAGGTATTTGTTATCAAATCAACACATCCATAAGGCATTTTAAACTTTTCTTACACTCTCTAGAAATTAGGTATTTTGCTCAATTTCATTAAGCCTGGCTCTAAGCAGCTCCACCCCGCCTTAAAGCAAGCCCCCCTCGGAAAGCATGGAACCAGAGCACCATTTAGTCAGTAATCTCGGCTACATGATAACGACGCCCTGGTGGCCTCTAGAATTGCCTGCAGCTTCCAAAAGTGCCTGGCAGGCAACCAGAAAGCGCCAGGGCCCCTTGGAGAACCCCGCTCCACGGAAATCCTTGGAAGTGATTGCCTTTAGTGGAGCTGTTATGTAACTGCGGAGCATTCCTTGATTTTACTGTTGCACACAGAGTGTATTTGTGACGTGTGTGACTCACTCGTGGGGGACAGGTGTGTGCTTGCGTGTGCTGTCTTGTCCCCTCGAGGGAGGGAGGGTAGTGCACGCTTGCCAGTAACTGAACAAGGGAGAAAGAAAACCCCGCAGGCACTTGATCGAGTTTTTTTTTTCCTTAACAAAATTAACCCCAAGAATCACCTTCCAGCGGAAGCAGCGAATTTATATTGACTTGGATATAGAGGAGAGAAAGAAGACAGCCCCCTATTCCGGTGGGAGTGGGGGGCACGTCTGCCGCTTCCCTGAAGGAAAGAGCACCTGGGGCGGTTTAGTACCTGTGTCATTCTTGTCTGGGGACTTGCCTCTCTGGGCTTCAGGCTCTCCACATATAAAACAGACACAACATCGCTTGCCCACGTCACAGGGCTGTTGGGGGTCAGTGGACAGGATAACATGGGCAAAGCTCTCATATGAGCTCTTTGCAAACGGACATGGTCATGACGTCATCCAGTTTAGCGCAGCATTTGGGAGCATGGACATGACAGCCGGACCCCTTGGGTTTCAATCCTGGCTCTGCCCCATAGGGGAACATGCCGGGTTTCGTGGCCTCCCTGTGGCTGGGCTTCCTATCTGGAGAGGAATAAATTAATGAATCGAGTGAAGCACTTAGAACCGCGCCCCAGGCAGACTGCTCCCGCCCCGCGTCCTGTGGGTCCAGACCATGTGGGGAGACAAGGAAGGAGGCGGCCACGCAGCCAAGCCCTCAGGCCACCAGCCAGCTTTGAATCCCAGGGCTGCAGGAGGGGAAGCTGTGAGCCAGGGATGGAGCTGCGAGTGGAGTCGGAGAATAAGAAACATAAGAACCCATTAAACAGGCTAAGTGGAGTCCAGAATGAGTGGAAAGAAGGGGACAGTGAAGAAGGGAGCATTTCTGCGGAGATTAGGTCTCAGGGTCCCTAGTGAGGCCTGCCGCCAAGGGCCTCTGTGCGCTGACTTCTCTTTGTTCCCCAGGGCCTCTACCCGCTGCCCTTGCTCAACAGCGCCGCCCTGGACGACGGCAAGGCCACCCTGACCCCTTCCAACACACCCTTGGGGCGCAACCTCTCGACTCACCAGACCTACCCAGTGGTGGCAGGTACGATGCCTGGAATGTCCTGGGCCACGTGGCACCAGCGGCAGAGAGGGGCTGGAAGGCAGGGCGTGGCTGGCCCTGAGGAGGAGGGGCCTAGGGCCCGGGGCCTGCAGAGGAGAGGTGGGGCCTGCAGAGGAGAGGTGGGCTGCGCCGGTTAGGCCTCCAGGTGGGTCCAGAGGGTCCCGCCTTGTAGTAGCCCAGGCCTCCTGGGCGCCTCCTCGCTCCCCCAACGCCGCGGGGCAGGGGAGAGGGCACACACTGTCCTTCCACACGCGCAGAGGCACAGCAGGGAGGCAGAGTTTCTCTCTCCCCCTCCCTCACTCACCCTGAGGACCCCGCGCAGCCCCTCCCGCTGCCCCCAGACTCAGAGAGGAGCCGCCTGCCCCAGCGCCCCGCCCGCACTCCACCCCCACATCTCATGGCTGGGTTCGTGCATGTGCCCACCCCATCATCTCACACCCCTCTCTCCTTGTTGTCTCCCTCCCTCCGGCAGATCCTCATTCACCCTTCGCCATAAAGCAGGAAACCCCCGAGGTGTCCAGTTCTAGCTCCACCCCTTCCTCTTTATCTAGCTCCGCCTTTTTGGATCTGCAGCAAGTCGGCTCCGGGGTCCCAGCCGGTGCCTCGGTCCCGCCCTTCAATGCCTTTCCCCATGCTGCCTCCGTGTACGGGCAGTTCACGGGCCAGGCGCTCCTCTCAGGTACGACAGGGAGGTCCCGGGCAGCTCTCGCGGGGGGCGGGAGGGGGGTCCTCAGGGCCGGCCACCAGCCCCCTGCTTTGGGGACCAGCCCCCTCTCTGGCCCTCAGTCCTGTCCACCATCACTCTATTCCCTCCATCTTCCTGCAACTTATGGACGCGCCGAGATGTGGTGCTCCATGCCGGCAAAGTCAGGCCGTGGGAGGGGCAGGCACTCTGGGGATGCTTGTAAGAGGGGTGCCTGGCTGATTTCTAGAACCTTGCCCTAAAGCCCCATGGACCAGCAGGGACCTTGAGGTCAGGAGCTGGGCAGTATAAAGCAGTGAGCCCTTGGTCTGGGTGAGAAATGAAAAAGAACTTTGGAGGGCAAAAAGTCATTGGCTTTTGTAGCCAATTTCTGGATCAAATTTCTAAAGAAAACAGGGTCCATCCCCATTGGGTCTCCATAGTGTAGCTCTCCTTGTACCCAGCTTAACAAGGTCACCCTTGGAAAACACTGAAGCAGAGTAACTCACCAACTGGAGAGATGGAGAGCAAGGGGACCTCCCATCAGGAACCTCATTGGCCTCAAAACATTTAAAGCTGGAAGCACTCAGGGGCATCTAGAGCAAATCTCTCCTTATACTGATGGGAAACAGGCCTGGGAAGGAGAAGGGCCTGGTCAAGGTCCCTGAATAGGCATGTGGTGTCTGGCAGAGTGAGGGCTCAGCCTGCGTGCACCCCGAATTACAAATCAAACTGGGTCTCCCTGGCAGAAGGACATCAGCCCATCCAGCGAGGACCTGGGCAGTAGCCGAAAGAGTCAGGGTGTCTAGCTTGGGCAACAGGCCTTAAGTGGAGTGAGCAAAGGGAGCAGAGACCCATAATCGTCTTCAGATATCTGACAGGCTTCCTCAGAAATGGGACTATTTTAGATGTGGGCCCAAGGCATTGAACTTAAAACCCATGGAGGAAGCCAGAAGTGAGCCAGCCCTTCTGGACCAGTGGTTTTCAACTTGCTGGGCCTCAAAACACTCTCTGGAAATGACAGCTTTTATAGAAGCCAGGTATCCAGACCAGACGAATGAAGAGCTACTCTGTTTGAAGTAGGGACTCTGCCCCCTAAAAGCCCCTGGACTTGAAAACCACCAAACCAGAAGAACGAGACCTCTGCCTGCCCAGAGGGACCGCAGGGTTGTCTTATTCAAGTTCACAGACCCTGTCTTAAAACTGACCCTACATTTTCTGTCTGGCAGGCACCTGAGATTTTTATTCTCTGTGCATCCCCACATCTAATGTGGGAGGTCCTCTTGGAAGAGGTGGGCACAGAGGTAAAGGGTTAACAAAGGAAGTCCAGTGTGTGGGCAGAGAGGCAGTGTTTCGGGGTGTGGAGCAAGGAAGCTAACGTTGACTCAGAGTTCAAAATTTCAAAAGCGGGTGAAGTCAGCGGAGATGGGTCATTTGTTTTGACCAAAGTGATTACAGGAGAAAAATCTGCGAGCTGAGTGGAATGATGTCAGCCAGAGAAAATGGGATGGGGGGGTGGGAGGGGAGCCAGGGAGTAAAGGGATTCAAATCCACTGCGGGGTGGAGAGGCCCGATCACTGGGTGAGGCCGCCTGCTTGGTGTGAATGCCCGACCAGGAGGGCTACAATAAGGCAGGCAAGGGGTGAGGTGTGGGCAAAGCTTGTGATGATGGGGAGCAGTACTTCGGTTACTGTGTGAGTTGCCCAGAGACTTGGCAGGCCCTGTGGAGTGGAGAGGGAAGGGCAGATGGCCGTGGCAAGCGGTCTTGGATAGTGGTATGAAGCATACTTACCCGCATGGGGTAAGGAAGCTGCAACAGATGCCAGGGTGCAGAGTGTGGCCCCTGTGAAAGCCAGTGGGGGGCTGCAAGGCCCAGCCCAGGGGCCAAATATGGGGCACCTGAGGCGGGGGCTCTGAGAAAAGCAAGAGATGCCCAGACTTGGAAGGACTGGGTCCAGGCAGGTTACCAAGAGCAGGAAGCAAGTCAGGGCTGCAGTTCACAGAGCTGAGCCAGCTCTGTGGCTCCGGCACAAGGTACCAGATGGCTGGTGTCCATGCAGAGCCCAGGGTGTAGACGTGGAGCTCCTTGAAGACTATCCACCTGCAGCCTCTGGTCAAGAATGGACCTAAATGCCTACTATGTGGCTGAGCCATGGTGAGCGGGCTAGGAGGAGATCCAGGGAGAAGAAAGGTTGGGAGGAAGGATCTCAAGAGTTTAGGGGGCTAGAAATCGATCCAAGGGAGGGAGAGGTGAACTTGGAAGAGAGAGAAGGTAGCCAAGACTAAATTATTCTGAGGTAGTGCTGCAGACAAGAGGAGGAGGCAGGACCGGGTGAGTTTTCATTCCAGATTCAGCTTGGCCCTCCCGGCTCGCCTCCTCTGAGTGGCTTCCTAAGACCCTCGCTGCTGCATCACCATCTCCCCCTGGGGTCGCTTCCTCTCCTTGCCCAGGGGCTCTGATAGTGCAGTTTTCAGGGTGACTGTCCTTCTGGGTCTCAGCTTCTCCCTAATCAGCCAAAAATGAAGCATCAGAGTTTGGGGAACAATAGGATTGCCCCTAATATTCCTGCTGTTTCCCTTCAGATGCCCCAGTCTGGGTCCCAGCACACTTGTAAGAGTGATTGATATTGAGGCCGTCCCTGTCCTGGCTGTTCTGGGGCTGATCCCAGCTCTGTTGATCAGAAAGCTCTGAGTTTGGTTTTATCATCAAAGGGTCCATTACCCGCCTCCATTCTTTTGTGCGAAATTATATTTAGTCCTGCCAAAGAGATTTCTGGATTGCTATAAATTTTCTTTGCTATCAGAACAAGATAAGGAATTGAAAAGGGGTCACGTAGAGGGCAGGCATCAAAGTGGGCAAATAAAATTGTCTGAAATCACCTCTACCTTCTGAATTCCTCCAAGGAATGCTACCAATATTTAGAACATTTATCAATATTTCTGGGGTGCTCGTGTTTTCTTGTAGAACCCCTTCACAGCCAGCCATCATGGATCTGTGTCTACATCACCTTCTGAAAAATAGGGCCATGTTGGAAGTATATTTGAGTGCTGAGGAGTTACAAATCAAAGAAACTCATGATGAAGAGCCTTAAAAATAAGTAAGTCAGTTAAAGGTCACGGTTAGGCCACGTTGGAGCGCATCTACCTCATGGCTTCTGTGGTTTCATTTCTGAGAAGGTTGCAAGGTTCTCGGCTTTTTGGAAGAAACCACTTATTTAAGGAACCGAAGCAGAGTTTTGAGGGATTGACAGAGGAGTTTAAGGTGCCACAGCCTGGGTGAGAGCCATCCTGTAGAAAGTCTTCCTCGGCTTTCCAGGACGGCCAAGTTTCATGGAAACCTTTGGGGTGTTCTTTAATTCAGAAACCTCTGCCTCACTGGGAGAAAACTTGGTGACCAAGGAGAGATGAAGATTAAAAATCTCAGAATTTAAGGAAATGAGGCTGATGAATTTATTTCTAAGAGCAGTCTAGGGGCTAGTTTCATGGGATGGGGTCCGACAGGGCAACTGTGACTAAATTAAATTGTGGCTTCAGGGGAGCACGTGCCCTGGTGCTTGGCCCACTGAGCTGTAAAGCTCAAGAAGCAGCAGGGTCAGGTGATGGAAAGGGAGAGATGCGGGTGGGAGAAAGGGGGAATGTGGGACCCCAGGAGCCCTGGGGAGTACCTAGGCCAGCTCCAGCAGAGAGGTGGCCTGAGAGCCAAGGCTCAACCTCCTCACCTCCAGCCCCAGTCATGGTAGACACAGATGCAGCCTCAGAATCCTGCTCCACACAGTGTACCTGGAGCCCCTATGAAAGAATTAAGTGGTAAGCTGAACCTAATTGGCAATCTCTAATTTAACCTAGCTCTTGGTGAGACAGACGGGAAGATGTGATTGAGAGCAATTAAATAGTCTGTCACTCAGCCACAGCCTGGCTTGGATCTAGAGCTGTCTTCTCTCTCTCTCTCTCTCACTTTCCCAGAGGAAGCAGAAAGAGGAAAGAGAGAAGGCTTCGGACCTGAATTAGCCACCAGTCTCTTCCATCACTCTCCTATGCATGCAGCTGTCCATCCTCTGTACCCGTGCTGCCCGTCGTAGGCTTCTGTCACCCCTTGCTCTCATAGGCTCCAGTACCTGGCCAGGTGCTTCATCTGAGGGCCGAGGGGGCTGAATCTGATAGCTGATTGTATTGCACTCCTCTTTGAAGAAAACCAGATTTTACCTTGGTATATCTCCTGCATATTCCTCCCTCTACTTCTAAATATACTAAAATTTCCTTGCCTCACTTGGGTTTCCAATTCCTCCTTTGTTTGGACCCTGGGTCAAGTGAACTGAACCCACCTGTAGAATTCTGGTAGATTCCACCCTGTTTGGTCCAGCACCAACCATAGCTGAACATTGTACCAGAAGTCAAACAAATTAGGAGGTGGTGTTTATTTTTATGAAAACATTCACATAGTTTTAAATAATGAACACTGATGGCTCATTCAAATAGGATTTATTCTATAATGGTTCCCATGACATGTAACAATTTTTAGAAGGTGTCCATTGCACTGATCAATGTCCACCTGTAGCATGAAACCCTGGCTCTGAATTATGCTGGTAACACCATAGCAGTAGTAATAAGGTGCCTAAGGCTACTCTTACTGTTTTTCTCCCATTTTGCACAAGAAGAAACAAGCTTGGGCACATAGGTGGCTGATCTAAGCGCACTTAGAATATTAGCTGTAGAAGCAGACTAAGGACTGAGGTCCCCTGGTTCCTAGACCCTTCCCTCCAGAGAAAGGGCAGAAGCCCAGAAGGCCTGGTCTCGTTTGCTAACCCCTAGGCTTGGCTCCACATGCTCATCCCAACTCATGCCCCATCTTGATTTAATGGCTGGCCTTGCTAATTTAGCATTCTTACTCACTGCTGTATCCCTAGTACTCAGAAAAGTGCTTAGGACATCATACTTACTCAATGAATCTTTACTGAATGCACAGATTGTCTTCAGGGAATCTCTAGAAATCGAGGTAAGAATTAGTCACTCCGATACGTATTGACAACTCATAAGGGTCCATGGGCCATACCTTCGCTCTCATCATTCCTGGCCAGCCCCTGAAGAGTTTGAAGCATGGGGGACTTGAGGGGGAACCTCAGGGAGAAAAGTTTGACAAGCAGGGGTGTAGAGAGGACGATCTTGGCAGGTTGATTGACAGGCTCACGGGGAGCCCACGTAAGTCCTAGGAGAAGAAGCTGCCCCCAGGGTGGCAGAGGCATGTGGGGAGAAATGGTCATAAGTAAACATAGTGGTTCTCAACCCAGGGTGATTTTACCCCCTGGGGACATATGGCAATATTTGGAGCTATTTAGGGTTGTCACACTGGGTGAGAACTGTCAGTGACATCTAGTGAGTAGATACCCAGGATGCTGCCGAATGTCCTGCAGTGCACGGGGTGGCCCCCACACAAAGAATTATCTGGGCCCAAATGTCAATGGTGCTGAAGTTGAGAAACCCTGTAAACATCACCAAGAACTGGGATGACCGAGTAATTCATCGTTCACACTGGGGCATTTGAGAGTGAAATGGACATGATTAATAAATATGCTGGGACTGTGGTCATAACCTGGACAGAGGTGGGCAAACCAGGATGTATTGCCAAGGATCCTCGGGTGAGGGAGAGTCTGATCTGGGCCTGCAGGACATGGCAGCTGTGGAAGAAACTCACCCAGTCAGATGGGGCCTCCAAAATGGGAAAGCTCGACTTCCAGGTGTAAGGAAGAGGTGAGGCCAGGGAAATCAGGTCTCTCCAGAGCTACCTCAGTGCCACCAAGGCAAAGGCATTACCCTCAAATTATTAAGAGAGAGATGGGTGTCTGTTTTGCTGAAAATGTGTTTTGTTTTGTTTTGTTTTTCCCTCAGGAATGGGGTTGACAGATGTGTGGTACATATTCACGTGTAAACACTAAATATCTCTCAGCCCACCTCTCCTTTCTAGGTCAGGGATCGCCCATAGGTTTTGTGTCCTTTACGGCTCTGATAGGTTGTACCCACGTGGAAGGCCGGGTTGAGGAGGAGGAACACCCTCTCCGGCCCACTGGAAAACAGTACAGTGATTGATTAGCAATGTCTGCCACAGGTCCAAAAAAGGGTAGTCAAAGGTAGTGGCCCAAAGGCCACACCTGTGCCATCGTTTGTAGGGCCTCGTTCTTGATCCTCGGAGCTGGGGCTGAGAGACCATGAGGTCTGAGTCCATTGGCACTTAGGGCATTGTATTACTTAGGGCAGCGGCACCCACTGCTGTGCTGGACGCTGGGGGGGATAACAAAGACCCAGAAGACATAGCCCCCGCCTCCCTCCAATACCATGACATGTTTATGGGTGAGTTAAGATTCACGCAAGTGCGATCATCAGAGGACGGGCCACAGTGCAGGACTGCACTAGCCAGTGCTCCCGGCATGGTGGAGCCTGCGTCCTGCGGAAGGCCAGACAGAGGGGAGAGCTTGAACTCGAAGGAGGGATGAGGGGGGACTTGGGTTTGGAGAATGGCTCTGGAGAGAGGGGCCATGGCATGAGGAAAAGACTTGGCTGAGCCTCAAGGAAGCAAGACAGGAAGTGCAGGAGCCCATGACGGCCTAACTAGCGATTCCTTGCTGTATTTTTCCAGGGAGAGAGATGGTGGGACCCACGCTGCCCGGATACCCACCCCACATCCCCACCAGCGGGCAGGGCAGCTATGCCTCTTCTGCCATCGCAGGCATGGTGGCAGGTAAGGAGGGGGCTGGGCAGGAGGGGAGTCCTACAACCGGGAAGTGTTGGCCAAAGGTGGAGCAAAAGGGGACAGGAGGTAGGGTGTGTCCCATGCACAGACTTCCCAGAGGGCATCGAAGGACACACCAAAGGGCACATCTTGTAAATGCCTCGAGCCAAGGTGTCACTGCAGTCCCGGCTCCTTAACTCTCCCCCAGCTCAGCCTCCTTCTTCCCACATGCTCCCAGACTGCCCAGGATGAAATGGGCAGGGCTGAGACAGACCAGTGTTCAACTCCAAGCTCTGCCCCTTCTTCCGTTGACTCAGTCAGCCTTGATGGAGAGTGCTCTAGGGGTCCGCAGAACCGTGTGAGCTAAACACCAACCTGTGGTCTCCCAGTCATTTCCCCCTGATGAACCTGTATGCCCTTTCCATAAAATCTGAGTACGAATGGTGTTGGTGATGATGATGACGAAGATGGTTGACATATACCTTCCTTTATACCCCGCCCTCACTCCACACTGCATGGGTGGGACCCACGTTCTTGGCCTCCAAAGGTACTACAGGGAGATGAGCTGGGAGGATTTCTCCACCATCACTGGGACTGTCCTGGATTCCTACCTGCCAGTCCTTTGGGTTTCTTTATCTACCAGCGTGATCGCTGCCCAACAGTGACCCAGGGTGTCAAGGTCTAGGCAAGGGAGGAGGACAAGGGGAGTTTCTTTGGGCGAGTCTCACTCACTCTTTCAAGAACCATAGAGGAACGACCCAAGGGTGGAGAGGGCAGAATCGAACCATTTCTACCGCTTTAAGAGGCCCTAGGACCCGGAGCTTCTGGAATGGGCTCTGAATCAGGGCATCTGGGATGCCCATGCCAGCGTCTGTGGCTCTGACCCCAGAGACAGCACATCCGCCCAGGCCTGCTTCCCTCCCTCCCTGGCCAGGGTTATTCTTCAACAGCCACCCACTCTGCCCCGCCCCCCCCCCCCTCTGCTGAGGCAGGTGGGCCGGTCTCTCCTGGGCAGAGGGAGGGGCGGGAGGAGGGAGGCAGGAGGGAGGGAAGGAGGGTCTGCACTCCCTGGGAACCTGCTGAGCTAGCACTTGTTGCTGCCTGGTTACCGGGGCGATGTGCTTAATGCAGCGTTGAAAATACAGAATACCGACTCCTCTCTCCCTCCTGGCCCTGGACTCCCTCCCTTCCTCCCTCCCTCCCTCCCTCCCTCCCTTCCTCTTCTGGAGCGTGAAATGAGATTGGTCAAGATAAAAAAGGAAAAGATTCGGTTATTTTTTTAAGAGTGTGGATAATGGGGCTTCTCAATCAAAACCCCAGGCCCCAGCCGGCTCTCCCACCCCCTCCGAGCTCTCCACCTTCCCTGGCCGCCTGCTCAGAGCAGGCGGAGGAAACAGAAAGCAGAGGGCTTTTTTTCTCTTAATTATGAATCGTTCCCCAGGGGCCAAGCCCAGGGCAAAGGGGGTCCTGGGGCCTGGAGTCTGACCTGGGAGGTAGCTGGAAGGCTTGGGCCTCTCGTCAAAGGCCCCCAGGTGTTTCCAGAAAGAGCTCATCCCGCGTGTGTGTGGTGGAAAAGAAAAAAAAAAAATAGCCCAAGTACAGCATCAACTACCAGTGAATTGCAGAAGGGGTGGGCCTTGCCTTGCACAGTGCACGGGCTCCCCAATAAGTTATATGTAAACCAGTTTTCAGAAAATGCAATACTATTTAAATGCGTCATCTGGGTCCTAGGAACTCTATGGTACAAATGAATTCTTAAGGAATTCTTTTTCCGTAAAATATGATTTGTCCATCTCTTACCAGTAGCCACAGTCTTCCAGTGGGCTGAGTGGAGATTCCTTCCATTAAAATTAATAAACCTTCGCTGAGCACCTACTGTGTGGTAGGTGCAGAACACTTGCTTAATGTAAGGCATGCCAATGACATTCTTCAATCATTTGTGGAAGGAAGGCAAAGATCACTTATTGTGCACTTGTGTGTGCCTGGCCATTCATAGATAGAACTTTCTTGTTTAATCCTTACCATAGGACTAGAAGGCTGGTATTATTCTAGTTTAATATAGATAAGGAACAAGCTTAGTGTGCTCAGGGTCTTAATGAACCATACTATGTGGCTGAGTTGTTCAAACACAGGTCTTCTGATTTCAAACCTAGGGCTCTTTTTACTATACCGCACTGCCTCCCACAATACCAGAAATAACGACACAAACTATAAGAAAGCGACACAAGAACAGGACCAGGACAGACTTCTCTTATCCACTCATCTTCTGTTTTGCCTTCTTGTGGTTGTTGTTACTGTTGTTCCTGCCTCATTAACAGAGTTGATGACCCTCACACCAGTTCTAGAGCAGAACTGACAACTCCAGATAGATGGATCCATCCATCCATCTGCTGAGCTTTCCACCCATGTATCTTTACACACATTATCCATTCATCCATGCACCTTCTTACCCATTCATCCATCCTTCCATTCTTCTTTCCTTCCATCCGTCGTTCCTTCTGTCCATTCATCTATCCATCCTTTCTTACATCCATCTTTTCATTGACCCATCCATCCTTCTATCCACCCACCCACCCATCCATCCACCCGCCCATCCATCCATCCATCCATCCATCCACCCACCCATCCACCCATCCATTCACACACCCATCCACCCACCCACCCATCCTTCCATACAGCCGTCCCTTCATCTATCCATCTTCCCATCCTCCATCCTCCATCTCCAGCCTTTCAACCATTCTTGTATCCTTCCATCCATTCACCACTTTTTCACCTAAAAAATACTGGTTGAATATCTATGGTATAGGATGCTGGGGGATATAGCAGTAAACAAGGCAGGTCCCTCTATTCATGGAGATTACAACCTAATAGTGGAGAAGAAAGTACAGTAAACAAGTCAGTGAATGAACAAACAAGATAATTTCAGATAGCGATAAGTGCCATGAATCTAATAAAGTAGAATGATGTCCTTAAGAGCCACAGGGAGAGGAGATAACTACCTTAGATTGGTGAACAGGGGAGACCTCTCTGAGAAGGTGTTCAAAGTGGTCAGCCAAGTGATACACTGGAGCAGACCATCCCCAGCCCAAAAGAACAGCAAGGGCAAAGGCCCCAAGGCAGGAACTAGTTTAGCATGATCACAGATAAAAAGGGGGTGAGTATATCTAAGAACAAGTGAATGGAGAAAGCACTACAAAATGAGGGGATTTGGGGAGTGGCTGGGTCAAATTTTAAGACTACTCAGGCTGCTGGGAAAACAGATAGTAGATAGTCAAAAGCGGGAAACACAAAGACCAATTAGGGGAGGGACAATTGCAATCATTCATTCAAGACATGACAGTGGGGGCGCCTGGGTGGCTCAGTCAGTTAAGCGTCTGCCTTCGGCTCAGGTCATGATCCTGGGGTGCTGGGATCGAGCCCCGCATCGGGCTCCCTGCTCCGCGGGGAACCTGCTTCTCCCTCTCCCTCTGCCCGGGCTTGTGCTGTCTCTCTCTCGCTCACTCTCTCTCAAAGAATTAAATAAAATCTTAAAAAACAAATAAAAGACATGACGGTGGCTTGGGCTGGGGAGGTAGCCGTGAGGGAGGAGGAAAGGGACACTGAGGATATGTTAGTGGTACAGCCAACAATACTTACTGGTGATTTGGCTGTGGGGGTTCCAAACCAGAGGCTCCAAGGATGACTCCTAGGCTTGGGGCTTGGGAAAATGCATGACGTGGTGGTCGCAAATAAAAATGTGGGAGACCAGGAGAGGGAGAGGTAAAGCATGTGGCAGGTGGAAATCAAGAGTTCTGTTGGCCATAAGAGGATTGAGACACCTCCAAATACCCAGTTTAATAAGTCAGTAGGCACATGATATATGTCTGAAGTCAGGAAAGAATTCTGGCTAGGGCGTAAATTTCAGCCATGGTACTGAGCTGTTATTTAATGCCAAGGGATTAGAAAAGATCACTAGAAAGAGAATGTGGATGGAAAATCACAGAAGGCTCACAAACCGAGCCTTGGGCATTTAGAGCTTGAGCAGAGAAGAAACCAGCCAAGAGAGTGAGCGGGAGAGGACAGTGGATCTGGCAGCAAAGGCATCACAAAACCCAAAGACATTAGAAGGAGCCATGACCTGAATCGGTTGGGGGAGGGGTGGGAGTGGGCATAGAAGTGACCATGGGAATGATCAGGGTGGAAGTTGTGGGATTGCAGGGGATCTGCTCTGGCCCGATTGGACAGGAATGAGGAGGTGAGGGCAGAGGCCAGGAAGCACAGAAGGGGGCTGGTAGCCGGAGGTGGGGCAGAAAACGATTTGGAAAAGAGAAGATGGCAGACCATGTTCGCTGGCTGGAGGGAGTGGTAAATTAGGAAGGGAGAGATCGATGAAGCAGAAAAAGAAGGGATGGATTGTAGGGGCCAAGACCTTGGACAGGTGAGTGGGGGGGGGTGCAAAGAGGACGGGTTAGCCTTTTGTGGGTGCAGGGGTGTTTCATCCGTGCGGCTGCGGGCAGGTGGACAGATCTGGTGGTGGGGAGATGCTGCGCCCAGCCAGGTGTGTGCCACCTCCTGAGCCCCAAGCCCTACGCCAACTTGTGTGTGACTGAAGCACGTAGGTACTTGGTGAATGTGTGTTCAGTAAGTGAGTAAGTGTGTGAGCAGGTGAAATGCATGAGTAAGTGACAAAATGAGAGAGGAAGCATTGTGTGTTTTCCGCCTCTCTTCCTCATGCTTCAGAGCCAGAGGTGTTTGGCGCCGGGTGGAAGGAAAGGCGCGGGGGCCCTGGCTCCCCCCTAGGGTGCTCTGAAACCAGGCAGTTCTGGGGTACACCAGCAGTAAGTGGGGAACATTTAGCATTGTGGGATACAAGGAAGAGCCCTGGAATAGGAGCGAAGGGGCCACGGTTCTAGCGCAGGCTCTAATTGAACACGGGACCTGGGGTAAATGTCTTTCCCTCGCTGGGGAGCAGTTTCTTCATTTGTGATCCTCTGTTGAACTTTATTCTAGCACCTGCTTAATGGGAAAATAATAAAAGCTAGCATTTCCTGAGTGCTTTTTATATACCAAGTGTGGGACTCACCATTCAATGGATATTATCAAATTTAATCCTCCCTAAACCCCATGAGATAGGGACAATAATTCACCCCATTTTACAGATGAGGAAATCAAGGCTCCAGGAGGTGAAGTGACTGGTCCAAGGGTACACACCTGGGAAGTGGGGAGCACAGATTTGACTCCCGGCGGGCCAGCTCGAGAGCCAGGCAGTTTCAAGCTTCCCTTCCAGAGTCTGTCAAAGAGACAGGGAGCCACAGAAGGCACTTAGCTCCCAACAGCAGATGAGGTTTTGAAAGGCAGCGCGGACATAGGGGAGATGGCCGGGTTGGCAGGGACCTGGCTTTGTAGAGGGAATCAGCTCGGAAGCACATAAAGGGATTATCTGGAATCCAGAGTTAAGAGCCCTAAGGTCAAGTTCTGCTCTGCCATTTACCAATGCTGTGCTTTGAGGCAAACTGCTTAATCCTGCTGCACTCCAACTTCCTCTCCTATAAGGTGGTGGTATTAATGGGTGCTTCATAGGATGCTCGTGAGGATAAAAGGGCCGAGGGTGTGGAAAAGTGTTTTGCAGACTTTAAGCTCCCTACCGAGTACCGAGTACCGAAGGTAACGGAATGGGCTGCTTGGGTTTGTTGCTCTTGTTTAAGGGAATCCTTATGTGATTTCTTTGGTAAATCATTCCTTTGGTAAAGCTAAGAATCCCCTCATTGAAGGAGGTGATCTGATTTACTTTGTTTCGATTCATGCACTGAGTTTGCTTCAAGTGGCAGACTTGGAATATGGGACGCAGACATCCTCAGAGCAAGTCCCAGGACAGATTCCCCAAAGAGGTTGGTGCCCTGCAGGGCTCCTCCCTCTGCTCCTTCCCCTAATCCTCACTCAGCACCCCCGCCCCTCCCCGCCACCTCCTCACGCACCTTCCCCCCATCCCTAACAAACTCAGACCTAGGGATGTTAAAAAGGCTATACAGGCTGATTCTTTCTGTGGCTGTTTCTGACCCCTCTCGCTCCCTTTGGCCCTTCCTGCAACGGCCTTCTGTCGAAGGTCCGGGCCGCAGGAAAAGTGGCTAGAACCTGGGCGCTGGAATCACAGCACACCTTCCAAACACCACCCAACCCTTTGGCCACATGAGCTTCTGCAGATCTCCAAGCCTTTGCTTCCTTACCTGGAAAATGGGCCTTATAATACCATCCCCCTGCTGGGGTAGCTGGGAGGACTCAGCTTGTCAGGGCAGTGCCTCAGGCACCTGGCAATAAAGGGCCCTGTCCAAAATGATGCACACTGAGGGGCCCCCACAGGGCGGGTTGAGGGGCCTCTGAGCTCACCTTGTCCCTGCCGCGGCTCTCCCTGTCTCCCCCTGTCCCCCAGAGCTCACCCAGTGCCAGCACTGCAGACCCTTCTCCCCCACCCCCAAGCCTACATTGGTGTGTCCACCTCACAGGCCTCTCACTGTGTGCCTCCAACAGGAAGTGAATACTCTGGCAATGCCTACGGCCACACCCCCTACTCCTCCTACAGCGAGGCCTGGCGCTTCCCCAACTCCAGCTTGCTGAGTAAGTCCCCTCGGGGCCACCCAGGCCCTCTGCTGCGTGGGGCAGGGTTGGGGTACAAGGCTGGGCCAAAAGTCCGCCTGAAAGGCAGCCGGGAGGCCCAGGTTAGATGGAGGGCCTGGGGAGACAGGTGTTTTTGGCAGGCGAAGCACGTGGTGGGAAGGCAGAGCCCCTGGTTGTTTGCAGGGAGAGCACACAGTCCGGAGACTTCTCCGTGTCATTCTCCCTCCTACTGCCTTGAGGCCATGTGCCTGAAATCTGTTTTGTGTAAGATATGGGGCTCAGGCCTTGGGCAAACGAGGCCATCCTGTCGTGCACATTAACCATCTCAGAGGCGCACCGGGTCTCATTACTCGGCACCAGAACCCTTACATGGGGATCCTTTGCTCACGTTCCCGGTATTTGGCTTGAGATGTGGACACCTTTCAGGGGGGAGGTCCAGAGAGTGAGCGACAGGCTACTCTTCACCCCTCTCTTGCCCCAGGGCCATGGGCTGGGTAGAGAAGCTTTTCAGGAAACCAAGTCCCATAAATGGGGAGCTTGAGGAATTCCACGAGAGTCTCCCTGAGCGATGACCTTGAGGGCCTCAGAGCAAACCTGAGCCCAAGAGAAGCAGTGAAGCAAGTATGGCCCACCCCGTGGGCACCATCACAGACCTGGCAGGACCATCCATTTCCTAAGCCCCCCCTCCCCCCGCCATTACCTCCTGCTTCCAGCAATGACCGGGAGGGTGGCTCACCTGGGCTCTGTTTGCCAGATGGGTTCAACTCCAAGCCACCTTTCTGTTCAATTTCACCAGAAAGGATGAGCGTACTGAGCTGGGCCAGGGGGCAGGGCACCTCCATGCAAGCTCGCCTGGGCTGGCCATCCTTCAGGTGGACAGAGCCTCCCCATGGAGGCCCTCAAATGCATTCCCCTTCGCCAGTCAGGATTCTAGTCATTCTGGGCCCTAAGAGGAAGATTCTCTGACCTCGCGCTGTTTGGGTAAGGTTGGGGAAGGTCCTAGGGATCCCCTAGTGTGCTTAGTTCTTCAGGGTTCCAGATGTAACTGCTTTCAATTGCCCTCTCCCTGAAACGAGCGAGGGTGTTGAAGGTCAAAGCAATCATGGGAGGAGGGGCAAGGAGCCATAGTTCTCATTCTGGCCAGAAACCCAAAGGTGAGGCCAGAGAAGGAGGAAATAGGGCCAGAGAGGAGTTAATCTTTGATGATCAGATAGGCCGGAGGGGTAGATGATTAACTTGTGTTGTCTTCAAGGTTAGCAGATGCAGGAGAGGCTATGGTGCAATTTCCCCTTTTTGACCAGCAGTGTTGTTGTTATTTTTTTTTTTTTTTAACATGTCCAGGTTCCCCATATTATTACAGTTCCACATCAAGGCCAAGTGCGCCACCCACCACCGCCACGGCCTTTGACCATCTGTAGTTGCTATGGGGACAGTGGGAGCAACTGAGCACCAGGAGGACTTGGCCTGGGACAGGCCCCAGAGAGTCACACAAAGGAATCTTTATTTATTACATGAAAAATAACCACAAGTCCAGCATTGCGGCGCACTCCCTGTGTGGTTGATTTAATGAACCATGAAAGACAGGATGACTTTGGAGAAGGCCAAACTGTCCTCTAAGACTCCTTAATGAGGGGCAGAAGTCCCAGGGAGAGAGAACTGTCCCGTTCCAAAAGAGACACACTTGGAGGAGAAATATGGAGAGAAGAGCGGAGCAGCCGAGGAGCTCGAGAGGGATGGCGCATGGGCCCACGATGGGCTTAGGGCCACACCGAGGCCCCCGTGGCTCCACCATCGACATGCTCTTGCAGGCACGGGCTGTGCGCACCTCTGCCCGGCCCCCACACTGCAGCCGGGTGCCCGGGCTCTCCCTCGCTGCCCCCCTGAGAGTCACCTCCCGCCTGCCCCACAACTGAGGCTCCGGCTGTCCACCTTCTCCACTCAGTTTGCTTGGCATTTCTACACCTCCCTCTTGGCCAGGGCGGAGGGCTGGGTCGAGTCGAAGCCCGAAGCTCCACCGGATGGTCCCCGGGGCCTTCCTGTGGCCTGCTGCTGAGAATGTGTGAGCACACCCCAGGTTCTCCTCCTGTGGATCATTCCCTCGTAGCCAGACCAGCCCATTCCAGCTGGAGACAGACATTCCCAAGGGCCCCCCCACCCAACCCCCACCCACCCCACACCCACCCCACACCCACCCCCCGACTCCTGGGGAGTGAGCTGCAGCCCTGCCCGGGGCAGAGCAAAGCAGAATTGCTGGAGACCCACTTCCCCCGCCCCCCCGACAGCCCCTGCCACGCCAGGTATGCCGCCTGTAGCCCCAGCCCAAAGCAACTCAAGAGGCCCCGTGGCAACCCCCCGAAGCCAGCATGGAGGTGCCCTCTCTGGCCCCCTGCAGCCCTTGCCCCCCAAAGCCTGACTGTAAATACTGTAAATGGAGCTCTCTTTGGGTCAAGCTTCCCTCTTTCCACCCCTAGACTTTGGCCTCTCAGTGAATTGTCTCCCTGCCATGTTGGGCTTCTCTCCTTGATGCTTTTCTTTTTTTTTTTTTAAAGGCAACCCACCATTACCACATAACTCAATAAACCATTACTCTTCGTCTCAGCCTTTGGGGTTGGCTGGGGAAGGAAGCAGCCTGGGTCTGGGCTTTCTTTAGAGAACCTCAGAGTCCCGTGGACCATGAGCTCATTCTGGGGGCGGGGCGGGGGAGCTGAAGGACCGTCTGATGCCCGGGAGTCCTGACTGCACGTTCTCCTTCTCCCTCTGTTGCTAGATGTTTCACGCCGGGCGGCCACTTATCCTCAACTTTGATTTCCACTGTGAATGAGCACAGGATAAAATGAGCACATGACACGGTGCCGGGCCAGTCGTAGACTCTCAAGTAGTCGCTCTTGTTATTCACAGGAAGCCAGAGAATCAGCGGGGAGGATTGGTGAAGGTTCTGGGAACACGATATACTGGAGCCTGCATAACGGCTCCCGCGCTCCCTGTAGCAGGAGAGGAGGTGGGGGAGGGGGGAGAAGATGTTCTCCGGGCAATGCTGTGTGCCAGGCTCTGTGCGAAGGGCCTCACGTAAATAAGTTGGGATTAGCCCCATTTGACAATTTGAGGAAACTGAGGCTCAGACAAAATGAAATAACTTGCCCAAGGTGGGAAGTGGTGGGTTCAATCAAATCCTCTCGGAAAGACTGAGCAGTGGGGAGGCCCTGGGTGTGCAGGGCCAGGAAGGGCTGAGGGAGCCTGCGGGGACTGCAGACAATCCCCGTCTAAGAAAAGTTCGAGAACAAGGGTCAACATAAAATGGTGGCCGCAAGGGCTCTGCCCCCACCAAGGTGCTTGGCCTGTGGGCACCCTCTCCATGTGGGGGTGCAGCTGAAACAAGGTGGGGCAAGGCGCCCAGGTGAATGCTGACAGCAGGGCAGACAACTGAGTTTGAGTCAGCGGAAGAGAGAATTCCTCGCCTACCAGGGACTCCAAGACTGGGAGGGCTAAGGAGGAGACATCGGGCTCTTACCCCCCTGGTCCTCCCTAAAGAGAGGCCAGGGATGCTCACCAAGGATGGCGTGAGAATAGAGCCACGGGATCGTCCCACAGAGAAAATCAGTCTCATCTCTTCTGAGGGGACCTGAGTCGAGGCTCGATTTCCACTAACGGCACTTCCCTCTAGCTACGAGCATGGCAGCAGGACTGAATCCCTTCATATCTGAGGCTCCTCATCATCTCCAACCTCGGGGTCCCTGAGTGCCCTAAAAGAGCCTCCCACCTGGTTCTGAGGAACAATGAACCCCCTCATCCAAGATCACTTTGAGATGCACGGTGCCCCAAGGAGCCTGCAGGGCAATTTTGCATTTGCAGCCAAAGCCCTCTCTGGAACACTTGGTGCCCCTGGCAGGCCTTCTCCAAACCCCAAATGGCAAAGGGACTTGGGCTGTGCTTTTGCTGGGGGTGACCCTGGTTCAGAACTCCCCTTTCTTTCTCTGAGGTGGGCTAAGCAGTGCAGGGCACTCTGCCTAAAGCAGGTGCTGGTGAGTGTGTGGTGTGGGCCAAGGGCAGTGTGTCCTGGCCGGTACCTATTCAGACATTCAATCCATGGTCAAACCATGGTCCCCCTTTGGAAAATGCAGTCATTTATGTATTGGGGGAAAGCAATGATTTGAGGTGCCCCAGCATTGGAGACGCTGTTGAGAGATGTTGGGGCAGCACAGGCAGGGCTTGGTAAAGGAGTATGAGGAGGAAGGGGGGGGGCACATAGGGTTTGGCTTACCATGTAGCAAGGTTTCTGTGAAAGCCTGTGGGAGTAGAATGTGTGGGGAGGAGAACTGGGGATGAAGCCTGGGCCTGAGCATTCCCAGGGCACAGAGGGCCCAGCCTCACCCCCGCAACTGGAGCAATCCCGGTCAGATCCCATGTGTGGAGGCCTCTTCAGCTTTCCGGGCAGCTCTCCCTGCTCCTGCTCCCTCGTCTTCACTCATCCGCTTCAGTGACCTGCCCCTCACCCCTCCTAGCATGGCCAGGCCAGCCCAGGGTACCAGGAGCTCACAGAGGTCTGAGCCGGCCAGGCAGCCCCTGCAGGCGGCCGAAAGGGTTCCTGCTAGGAGACAGAGCAGCTCAGACCAGGTGGAGCTGGGCCACCAGGTGGAGTAGAGCCCATCTTTCTAAGGTGGGCTGGAGCTGGTGTGACCCTTGGGCCCCTACCGCACAGCCCGCAGTGGTGGGGACAGGGGCAGCTGGGAGTCCTGCCTCCACGGCCAGCCCCAGGCTGGTTCCACAGCCGACCCCTTCTCCAATATTCTTGCCGTACGTTGTTACTAAAGAGAGTATATTTTCCATGGGGGCATGCACTCCACCCTGTCAACAAGCTCACGCAAGAGGACTTCACGGCCACAGTCTACAGATGGGAAATAGGGGACCAGCGAAGTTGAGGCACTCGCTAGGATTGCCCCTCTCCTGCCTGCCCTCCCCATCCTCCTGCTTCCTTCCCCAAATGCACACACCTTTTCCAGTGTGTACCCACCTAGGTCCTCATTAGGCGATTCTTGATGTCCTTGTCCTTCGGGGTGGGTGCAGGAGGAGGGGCCTAGAGACCTCAGTGCCCCTCATCAGTGGGACTGAGCTTCGGGGGCAGAGGGAAGCCGGTGGGGATTGGGGCTCCTTGGCCAGCCCCCTTCGCTCCCTACTTAAATGCCCCCCTTCATCTTCCCTCATCCTCAGAAGATATACTAACCCTTCGCGTAGGCTTAGTTTCTGTTTATAAAACTCACCGCATCAATCTTTGTCTCTGTTTCTGAACGTTGGCTCCATTTTGCACTGGAGAAACTGAGAGCAAAAGATTACTTGACTTTTTCCAGGTCATTCAGAGGAGCAGGGACCACAGCCCAACCCCTCATCTAAGGCCAACTCTGCATCCTAATCCGAGGCCTGGATCCCCAGACGTGGCCAGGCCTCTGCAGACACCTCAGGCAGCTGTGACTTTGTGGGGAAGAACAGAAGGCCCGTGACCACCTAGGGCACTGCCATGACGGGGCCAACAGTCCAGGATGGAAGGCCCAGATGTGAGGCTACAGGTGGAGAAGGAGTGCAGGGTGGGGGTGATCCTGGTTCCCCTCTGCCCCTGGCCCTGAGTAGCTCCTCAGGCCATCGCTTGGCAGCCGTTCTCCTACCTTCAGGGTCACAAAGCATTTCTGTCTGTAGGGGATCTCACTGTTCCTCTGCCCCAGCTTATGGGTCACCCTCCAGAGGGAGTGAGCCAGCTGAGTGACCATGACCGTGATTCTTGTGGCGAAAACCCCGACCTTCAACCTCTCTCACCTCTTTGTCCTGACACTTTACTCTCTTAGTTTCTATTCCAGTCCCTCCTCCGCGGGATCTGACTCAATTATTCCTTTGCCCCCCGCCCCCCCCCCTCCCGCCCAGTTGGCGTCTGCAAGGGTGTGGAAGTGGGAGAGAGCAGGTGAGTTCTCCGGAAGGGCTCAGAGGTCCTGCGTCCTGCTCCCCAAATGCCAGGACGCTTTTCTCCTCTCACCATCTCCTAATCTTTTGGCTCCTTGTTCTCCTCATTACCTTCCTCTGTTCCTCTTGCTCTTCGGGGAACTCGGGGACACAGGCACAGAGGCCCCGACCCCTGCGGGCAGGTGCGCGTGCCCGCTGCTGTCTCCTCGCTCACGCAGCCGCACCCCACCACCTTCAACCCCACCTGCAGCGTCACAGGCCCTGGGACAGAACCAGCTGGCCGGCCTTCGAAGACGCGGGAGGCCTCGGGCAAGGCGGGCCCCCTGCCGGCCCGCATCCCTGCACCCTCCCCGCCCCCCGGACGGCACCCTGTCTCCCTCCCCTTGCGAAGCCGCAGAGGCCGCCCGGGGATTCAGGGGCCGGGCCGGGGGCTCCGGGGCCGGCGGCGGGAAGCGGGGCTCTGGCTGAGGGGAGGAGGGAGGCTGGGCGCAGCCCCGTGCCCCGTGGCAGCTGGCCAGGTCGTGGAGCGGAGCGCAGCCTGCGGCTCTCCCAGGGAAATGTGATTTCCCCTTGAGTGAAGCGGACTGTGCAGTGTGGAAATTGGCTCTTTTCTGAGCGAGCGGCGGCTGTTCTGGAGTCGGGGCGGGCTGGGGCCCGCGGGAGGCCGCGCCGGCCCCTGGAGTGAGCCGGGAGCAGCCATGTGCTCAGAACTCATTAGGGATAAATCAAACCGGTACCAGCATGAAGCCAACACCCTCCCCCTCCCCCCCCTCCGAGACCCCCTACTACCACCTCCTCCTTCTCCTCCGCAGCCCAGGCCCCCGCCCCCACGCCAGGGAGCTGCGCCCACCGCACACACAGCCGCACACTCAGCCTGCGCCCACTCCAGGAGTGGGCCTCCAACGGGAGCCCTGTTCCTTCGCAAATAAATCTTGGTTGTCTGGTTTTTGTTTGTTTGCTTTGGGGAGGGGGTACTGGTAGCAAGCCTAACTCCCGGCCCCCAGGCGTACAGCCCCTGCGGCCTTGCCCGGAGCATGGCCCTGGAGCTCACATTCAGGCCCTCTCGTCTTCCCACCACCGTCCCTTTCCAGGCCGGCCCCTGCCTCCCGGGACCCCCCCCACCCCACTTCCCGGCCACATCGGCTCCCCCACATATATCCCCCTGGGGAGATGAGAGCACCCCCGGGGGGGGGCCCAGCCCAGGG